CCGATGAGGTGGTGTGTGCTTTGAGTGCTGAGATTAATGGAAGCTGATGGATATCAGCACCTCAAAGGATCAGGTCTTTAGCTTATAAGCATTTTGTAGAGGGGAGCTAATTTCACTGGGGTTTTTAAAACAGTTCCTTTGTTGTTAATATCATACTAGTGCTTAGAGGAGCCAGCTGAGATCCAAACTTAGCGCTACATACATCCACTGAGGGGCAGTCTCTGCCCCCAATTTACAGCTATGGCATGGAGGTATGGGCAGATTAATAGATTTTAAGGCCAGAAGGGACCTGGCCTCCTCCTGGATAGAACCAGGCCATTAAGTGACTTGCCCAAAGTCACACAAGAAGGCCGGGGCCAGCTTGAGATAGGAATCCAGGTCTCCTGAGTGCTAGCTCAGTCCCCTATCACTACAATCATAGAATACTATGACTGGAAGGGACCTCAAGAGGTCATCGAGTCCAGTCCCCTGCCCTCATGGCAGGACCCAGTACTGTCTAGACCATCCCTGAGAGACATTTATCTAACCTGTTCTTAAATATCTCCAGAGATGGGGATTCCACAACCTCCCTGGGCAATTTATTCCAGTATTTGACTACCCTGACAGTTAGGAACTTTTTCCTAACATCCAACCTAAACCTCCCTTGCTGCAGTTTAAACCCATTGCTTCTTGTTTTATCCTCAGAGGCCAAGATGAACAAGTTTTCTCCCTCCTCCTTATGACACCCTTTTAGATACCTGAAAACTGCTATCATGTCCCCTCTCAATCATAAAATCCTAGGGTTAGAAGAGACCTTAGGAGGTCATCGAGTCCAGCCCCCTGCTAAAAGCAGGACCAACTCCTTCTAAACCACCCCAGACTAGACCAGTCTTTGTTTCTGCATGTGGAGCCTGGAAGAGGTACGATGCTTTATCAGTAATTGGTGACAGCAGGAACCAGATTTTTGGTAGAATGCACAGGGTCTTCCAACATGACACGTCCAAGGCCTTCTCTGGTTGTGGATAAAACAATAATACGAGGAGGAACAAAAAAGAATTTTAAAAAATGGTGGCCCCAAACATCTCTTAATTTTTTGTAATATATGTGCATTACAACAAACAAGTCTTCTCTAGAGCTGCCAGATTGTTCTTCAGTGCCTCGAATGTTGTTTTACAGTATGAGAGAGCCGTATCTCTCACTTCTTGGCTGGAAAATGGCTAGTCTGCAAAACCCATAGCTAGCATTCTCCTTATGCAGGAACAAAGGCCTGCTAAGAAATCGGTTCAGTTGGGTTTTTTTAAGCATGCATGAGGTAAGTCCAAAAAGTTGCTAAAGTTCTACTCTAAAAAAATGAATAAAGCCCCTCTCTAATTCTCCTGTTACCCCTAAATCAACTTCATTCAGTGTTAAGCCTTACCACCTCTTTGTTTCCCCCTACCAAAAAAGTCCATTTTTTGTGGTAATGCCTCAATAAATATTAATGTCTTTCCCAGATGCAGCCATTTAAAATATACATGTGTGTATATATAAAATAACAGTCTGGATACTTTATATGGGTGCCCAGTTGCAGTTAAACTGGTCTGAAAAGCCATCTCCCCGCAACCCCTGACTGATTTTTCTGTGGGTCAGTGGCCCTCGATCCAAAAAAGGTTCCCCACCCCTGACATGTCGGCAATGGCAGAATGAGACTAGAATGCTACAATACTCAGGCCAAAGTTTTCAAGAGTGACTCTAATGATTTTGGGGGCCCAGCTTCAGATCCTGCAAAGGAACCCTATTTCCAGAGGGCAGGGCCCAGCACTTCCAGAAACGAACCTTTAACACATCTCTAGTTAGGCCCGGCAAATCACTAATCGTTGTTGGGTATCTTGAGGCACATCCCTGAAGCCTCAGGATGCTGGAGTGGTCTTCATCTCAATGAGGTCCATGAGAGGTGAGGTCCATGAGAGGTAATCAGGCCTATAAGAAGCAGTGAGTCCGGATTGGCAATGGGCAACCTGGGGTCTGCAGGCCACATGCAGCCCATCAGGGTTCTCTGTGTGGCCCATGAGACATTTTGTTTACTGTTGCCCACGTGCAGGGTTACCAGATTCCTCTGGTTTCCGTCTGTGTAGTTTTTGTCCTAAAGTGACCCACACGTAAAGCAAGGGCCCATGAAGTGAGGGGCATGCGGATTGCACTCAACTCTGACTGTGGGATCCGTGCGCTCCCTCTGCAGCCAATCAAAACTCTGCCATGTTTCAATCAGCACAGCCCACAAAGGCTAGGTACGCAAGTGCAGGCGGCCATCTTGTGGACCACTGAGAGGAAGGAGGCCCACTCTTGTGGCCCACTCAATAGCCTAGGTTGTCCATTTCTGGCATAGATAGTCCGCTAGTGGCTTAGACATCAATGGAGTTTTGCAGATTGACACCAGCTGAGGACTTGGCACCAGACATTTTAGGTTTGGTTGATAGGAGGTTCGACTTAGGTTGAATTTCTGTGTGTGTGGACCTAGATGGAGAGAGGTGGGAAAAAAATTGAAGCTGGGAATAATTTTCCTGATTAATTTATCCCTTATTTCTGTGTGCATGTTACCTACAAACAGGTCATGCTTCTTAAGACTTTGCAATTACTCTGTGAATCGTTACCTCTTGGTTTGTTTGCAAACATTTGTTAGGGACAGTTGCTTGCATTGGTCACATGGCAATATTTGTTTTCCCTGCTTGGATGACCTAAGCTTCCTAACTGGGAGGGGTCCCTTTAGCTATTTGCAGATTATCTGTGAGTGTTCGTAATTGTTTGAATGCCGCAAAAGGAGTGTTTGCAAGTGAGAGCGTTTCTGGCTTGAAGTGGCAAATATTCATGTACACTTGTATGCACAATGCTTTTCCTTTTTGGAAATATATTTGCTAATACAATTTTTCTCACCAAAAAATTCAGATGAAAGGGGTCATGAGATTCCATCAAAGGGAATCAACAGGGCTTATTTGCAAAAATAGTAGTGAATATGTTTACACTGCATTCATTCACTCAGCTGTGCTCGTATGACATGAAGTTTTGTATGATTTTGGTTCTGTGTACACCCAGGCAACTAAGGCTCTTCATAGAAGTTGCCCTCTGACAACAGGGCATTGATCCATCTTTCACTGCTGAACTTGAATACCAAAGCAGAAAGCAGCTGTGGTTTGGACACTGCGCTTTTACCTTTATCTACATCACACAAAGAACCAAGGAGGTTCTACATTTGTAAGCAAGAGGAAAGCAAGCAGCAAATGATTGGAATAAAATAATAGCTTTCGTTTGTGAAACTTATGAGAAAAACGGTCAGAAAAGGGTCATAAATGGTTTAAAAATAATAGAACTCTGTAATGTTGCAGGCTGGTTTTGCTGGGTTTTTTTTGGGGGGGGGCGGATTGTAATTTTTGAGACGCATACAAAAGAATCAGATTCTTAAGTTTTGTGTGTGTGTGTTTGTGGGAGGAGTGAATGTTTGAGAGGAGTAAATAAAGTGAGGGAAGGAAGCAAAGTTGATTTCTGGTTTATTATTATTAATATTATTATTTTGTTGTTGGTAAACCCTGGAAAATATACATCTTTCTCCTTTAAAGTTCTAATTCAAGGCATGAATGTGTGAGTTCTGAAGGGACTTTGGGACTGCGGTAAAAAATCGTTGTCATAGTAACAGAAAGGGAAATAGGCCTAGCTCACCTGGGACTTTAACTTACTGCAAAAGCTGAATTTTTTTTTTTTTTTTTAAGAAAAGCACTCAGCAAATGAAATAAATAAATAAATTGTCCACTGTATGCCATGCCAATTCTTAAACTATTTAAAATCTCTCTCCTATACTAATGCTTTCTCCCTCCCTCTTCTAAGCCTACGCAAATGTTCTTGTCCCAGTTAAACCTGGTTTTGTTCTCCAAATGTAAATGTGCTACTAGAACAGAATCATCGAAGTTGTTCACTTTCAAATATTTCTTATCTGTCACACTAGGATGGTGATACCGAGGTTGGAGAGTGCTTTTGAATCTGAAAAGTGCAAATGTTTGCAAACTGTTGTGTGAACCCCTTGTATCCCTGAAATTCACGAGTCTGAGCGGTGCAGATATTATTAGACAGATTGATTTGCTTATTCACATGGAAGACTTTTGTACTGAAGGGTCTGTTGAGAAACTACTCTCTAGTGATAGGATGTCAAGGTTGTGCAAAATCCAAGCACCGTGGTTCATAAACGTTTGGAGATTTCTGCCAAGAGTGCTGGAGACGCAACTTACATAAATGACAAGCTACGATCTTGCAGAATTGTAAAGCACAACAGATCGGTATATTTGAAAGAAAAAAAAAGTGAGAATTTGTACACCGCCAGTATGTATACCTACTCTAAATCATCACCTATAGTCTGTATTGACTCTGCTATATTGCCTTAACTTCTGTTTTTGCCTCTCTCTCTCTTACTATTA